CCTCAGATGTGTTGTTGGTTTGTGTTGTTCTATAATGTTATTAAAATGAAGAAGAAGGGTCAGAGGCTGCATGGGGCCAGTCCCCCCCAGCCCCACTCTAACCCAAACACCCTAAATGRCTACAAGCYACCGCTGAGAGTGGGCCCAGGCCTCAGTGGTGAGACTGACTGTCTGCTGTTAGCTCTGAGGGTTTATAAAGCTGATCACAGGTCAGTTCTGTGCAGCTGTTTAAAAACAAAACTAAAAGTTAAAACTGAACCGTTGTGTTGGAAGGACCAACACTTCTWATCTGATCTTCTTAGACTTTGTCCTGCAGGAGAAAAAACTAACTTTCTGTTCCCTCGAAACAAGATGAAACTAATGAAAATAAAATGTAACAAAACAAAAGAGAAGACAACAAAACAAATAATATAATATTAAATAATTAGTTTGAGTCTGGATCTGGTTCCAGCAGAACCTGCTTGAGTCTGATCTGGTTCCAGCAGAACCTGCTTGAGTCTGGATCTGGTTCCAGCAGAACCTGCTCCTCTGAAAAAAACCTCTCCGTTTCTCAGGAAATGAAAGTTCCAACAGCTTCCTGTCAGAAGGCTCAGTTTTATGGAGCCGCACCTAAACCTGGACCAGATATAAGGACCAGAACCTGAAAGGATTTCAGTCCTCGGAGTCCCAGACCTAGATCAAGTCCCAGTCCCAGACCCAGARCCAGATCCAGCTGAAGATGAGGTGAGTGGATTATTCTGAACCTGAACTAATCTGATTTTATCTGTAGGTTCCTGTTTGTCAGCTGAGTGGAAGATCAGTGTGTGTGTGTGTGTGTGTGTGTGTGTGTGTGTGTGTGTGTGTGTGTGTGTGTGTTTGTGTGTGTGTACTTGTTTTTGTTACCTATTTAGGATTGTTTCCAGTATACACACCTACCTTGTCAAGACCAGTAGTCCTAATGGGGCCCAAAGACCGGTCCTAATATGGTGGAACTTCATTTTTGGGTTGAGGGTTTGGTTTAAGACCAAGGTGTGAAT